AAACTAACTTTTATGTATTGTCTTTTGTCTGGGTGTTTGTGATAGTTTCGTTGCTTCTGGTTTCATTGCATATACATACATATAATACAGTGCTTTAGTTACTTTATTTGGGATCGGAGCCACGTATTTGATGTTGTCTAATATTTATTTAGGTTGTCGATGGTACTGTTAAGTTTGTTTTAATTGGTAATTTGTATATTTCAACTTCCACACAAAACTCTGTAAACATTTTCGAGAATTGTAACAAAAGTAGCCCCAGCTGGGGTACTACAATCTTAATTTACTACCTACTACTTTTAAGCAAGCAAGTTCTAACAAGTTGGTCAAGTCCGTAGACAAAGTTTCCTGAGTTTACATGGAGGCGGCAGCGATGAGCGAAGTTTTGCAATAGTGGTCAACCGGCTTCTAAGATGCAGTTCTTTTTTCAGTGAAACACGTATTATTGTTTAAAAGTTCTCTGCATTTCTGTATGAAATGTTCAATTAATAGTCATTTTGTGCAATCGTTGCATAATGAGACTTCTTAAAGACGTATTTAGGCAATATTTAATTTATAATATTTTTTTTAACAAACCACGACAACAAACTCAAATGAATTCCAAACAAACTTTTATATAATTCCATGCTTATTATAAATTCGATGTAAAAAGTCTTTTTTACACGAAAAAGAGACAATTCTGTGGACGAATGATGCACATTACGGTTTGATTTTTATGAAGATCGATTCAAGTGCATGCGTTCTAACGATTTTTTGTATTGATTTATTTCAGAGCGAGTTTCAAGCGAATGATTAAATAAAAAGGCAAATCGAATCGTCTACATCAGAAAGCAATAAACTTTTGTAATAATACCATTCAGTTTGAAAAAAAATCGATTTACAACACATATTTAGTTGTAAATAGTTTTTCCCTCGACTTTTGGGCATTAATGCGTTAACAACTGTGCTTGCCCATTTCTAATGATAACAGGATTTGACAATTTCGAACGGGACCGTCTTTTCGTTGACGTACTTCGAGAGTAGTTCTGTAGGTCGTCCATAGTGGGAAAACGGCAGCAACTACGAATTTCGTGATTCGAGACTAGGGCCCCTGAGCTGCACTAATTTCAACTTTTTAAGTAACTTGTAGTGCATTGATTAAAAAGTCACCCTTATTGAAGAAAAATAAAAAGAAACTAAAAATCAAAATTACTTTATTTGTAAATGTTCTTTGAATACATGTGTGGCTTCTTGGTGGCCTAACATTTTACATTGTGAGGACTGGCTTTGGAGGACCCGGGTTCAATTCCCGGTAGGACCAATTTAGGAAATGAACTTTTCTGAATTGGTTCTGATCTGTTGAAGTTTGAGACTAGGCAATTGGTGTGATGGATCAAAATATCAACAGTTTAACCATACGGTTTAAAATACGATTAACGGTGCGTGTCATTCACACAATTAAGTGACAATTCACTTTAAACCTCACTGGGTTAACGGTGTTAAACAATTACGTGATAACTGACTATCGGTAATGGAATTTCAGAAAACTGAAAAATTTCCTAAATCGTAAACAAATAAATACGCCTATTAAAAATTATCTGACGTCACCGAAAGTTAATCTGATTACCTACATTTGTTTTCGTTTAGAGAGATTATGAGATTAAATATGTTATGTTCCAGGGAACACCCTTTGCCTATATTTGTCACATCTTCCATTGAAACCTTCTCCTACCGACAGTTTGCGACCATCAAAGCTCTCGTTAATTTATCCACAAATCTAAACATCGTTTTGGTGCTTAAACTAGAAAATTTTGTGACCAAAACTTATTGCGCGTCTTAATTATAACCGATCACTCTTTAGTACCTTATTCTATATTTTTAATAAGATATAAGTGGACAAACATATGGAAAGTAACTTATAATGCCTATGCACTCGCCTTCAAAAGGCCTTCGTTTTGATATTTACGAACAAATCTGCAGGCAGAAAATCCCACGCCATAGTCATACGTGACGGCTCGTGCGAATTATTGGAATATCCACAACATGGGGGTGGAACCCCAGCTTATGTCTATTCCCCAGATGATGGAAAGGGGACGGCAGAATTAAATCATGCAGTGCCATCGCTCACTCTCAGTGATATTTATCTTATATAACTGGATGCTGATAAGCAAGACCTGTCAACCAACATGATCATAGTTTTACGAAAATGGATGATGAATTTATCGTTGATTTTGATAGTTCTAATAGTTTACTGTAAATTGAAAACTTTTGCCGTTGGCATTGAGGGATGATGAATTGTTGTGATTTATTACTATAATTTCCCAACAACAATAAGCACAAAAGCAAAAGTTTTCATTTTATAAGTAAATTTTAGAACAAACTGTCAAACACAACGAAAATATCTCCAGGTGCCATTTTCGCAAAATTATGATCGTGTTCGGTGACACATTATTGCTTATCAATATCTTACTTTACGGCAGTATTTAAAGCTTTGTAGCTTTGTTTCATCTAGGAGATATATCCCAAAGGTATAGAACCAGTACTTCAAACGCAATAGGATTTACGCTTGATACAGATGTAGAGTGACTATACCGAAATGTGAATTAACGCCTCGCTGCGGAACGGATGTAACAACTTCCTAGTTGCATTCTTGATTATGAGTTCAGTGTATCTGCCAATGTTTCTACTGGACACCAGGTACATTCCAATTATAAACACTTGTACAGGGTTAAGCCTGTAAATTTTAGACATAATTCTTTATTTTCCGTGAAAAACGCACCAAGAATTTGTCTTTTGAAAATGTATTGAAAAATTTTTCCAATTATGTTGTTATGTAGTCTCGTTATGGAGGAGTTTTTTTTTACGATACCAAGTGCCTAAGGGACACGCCTATCCATAGCAGCTGCAGTGCCACTCAAAACTTTAAATCGCATAGATCGTCACTGCGCCCGCCACCCTGAGACGTAAGTTGACAAGTTCCATGTGCCTGTAATTTCACCAGAACCCTGCCTACCCTTTAAAACCGAAACACGGTAAAGCTCACATTACTGCTTGGCAGCAGAAATAAATAAGGTGGCAGTACTTCCCTGGACGAACTCTTTAAAAGGAGCTTTGATGCTGCTAAAATTACAAATTGCGTAAATAAATACAGCGTGAAAACTCGTTGGTATTATCGGAAAATCATAATAATGATGTAAATTTCAAATAAGTGTAATTAGTTTATCTTTTAAGATCATTAGAAGTCATAAAAAAAACATAAACAAAGTTAGAAACACCTTCTGGTAATGTCGTTGTGGTCTATTTTGCAATGATAGGTACCCAGGTAATGAAAGACTTGTAGCTTTCATTAATCACAAGTGATTTATTTTATTCGGTTGTTCATAATGACGTAACTGCTATACAAGCCGTAGTCACAATCGAATATGAATGGAAGCTCAATGTTTTAAATAATGCGATTTAAGTTGTAATTCACATTTAGAATTTAAGTGTGACATACAATATCAAACATACGACGAATGAATATAATGCCGGATGTTAATATAAGTCGATATAGCGAGTTTTTCACCGAGGGTACGGGATTTTAACTCCGGTAACAGGAACATGTTAATTTGAAAAAGCTGGAGGCTACAGCTTGTTATTTGAGGCACTATATTGATAGTTGAACATGACGGCTGATAGATTTTATTCGTTACACGCTTCGCTTTGTGGTGGTTTTTTGTTTACATACTGCAATTAGGTGCGCCGTCCGACGTTTTTTTAAATTTTTCCATTACTGTAGATTTAGTGTTTTTGGTTGTTGTGGGTGGGGATTTTGATATTACATTCAAAAGAGAGCAGGATTTATATACTGTGTTGTTATAATTAAATAATAAATGTTACAGTGAAATAATAAATCCAACACAAGTCTTAAGATTTTCGTGGTTATTTGCTAAATAACTAGTTACAGATTTCTTGACACGGTATCACTTCTTATTCCATGAAATGTAAATAAAAATAAATAAAAAGATAGAAATCAATGTACAATCAATGTTCTTCAAACAAAAAGTCAAGAGACTTCGATGCTTATAACTCATCTGCGTCAATTGAATGAGTCCGAGCATAGTTTTACTGTAAGTAGGTGATGAATCAAGGTCACCTAAAAATCAAAAGGTCACCTACCTGAGATTGTCGTAATTGCAGCATCAGATCAAGTTTACCATTTTATTGTGTTATCGTCGGATTTCCTTAGTATACCAAGTTTCATAACACAATGAAATAAAATAGACCAAATGATAATAGAGCTGATGTACTTCCCATACCCGAGCTAATGTTTATCAAATATAAGAACCATCCCGATTAAATCAGGCTTCAAGAAAATAAAATATTCGCCATACACAGATATACTCCATCCGGTAAACTCCAGGTCAATGACGTATAAGTGAAGTGTCCATGTGTCACTCATGTACTTTCAAAAACTCTTAGTTCAGTGTATTAGCTCTAAGTATATTTAAAGTTAAACTTTTCTATGTAACTGATAAGAACAGTAAGCATATCTATACACTCCTAATGTGAACTCGGGGAAGTAAAATTCTAGTTCTCCATACTGTTCCCTTAAATTTAACTGTAACATGTAACTATAGTAAATTTAAAATAAAGCATCTGGTTCTTTCTACTTGAAACTTGTTTTCGTTGTGTGTAAGGCGCCCTTCCTTCTCCTCGCTCATAAATTTTACACGCAGCACCGGGTCAACCAGAACTCACCCACAAACCAGTCTCATGCTCACTCAAACCGACTGGAGCTGACCATTACAGTGGCCATCCATCTGTTTGGGAGCTACGAAACTATAGCCAGACATACATATACACAGAAAAGGCTTAAAACTTGCAACTCTCCTCTTTTTTGCGGCTGGGATTATAATATCTCTGACCAGTGAAAACCACACACACGCAGATATTTTATACAAATAAATTCTTATTATTGATAACTAAATTGTTTCTCACTTGTTACAGATGTGGAGTAACACCAAAGAAGACAAAGGCTAATCGAAGAGTTAGACACAAAACAAAAATGATAACATGACGAAACATGTCACACAGTGGGCAGTTCCATAAAGCTCGGACTAAAAGTGTAACGAGCATGTGTCAAAATGATAGTGAAAAGTGTGGTGAAACCAAAAATCCCTCCCAAAAAATAATCGCGTTCAATTTGTACTATTTCCTCTTTATGATTTGTCTATCACTACAAACTGTGAACTCCAATACTACCAATATGAACAGACATTTAAACACGAATAAAGGTGTGGCTAAAACTATTATATACAACAAACAGAACGATGCCCCAAATGAAGATAACTATGAAGATCACGAACACACAAGTGAAAAAGATTATTCCAAAGTCAATTTTGAACTAAATCCGTATTACTCTAGCGAAGATTTTATACATAAGTTTTACAATAACGAAAATAGTTACAGCAACTATGAGGACTATAAGAAGTACTATTTGAATCCTTCAAATCCTTTGCCTAGAGCCAATGTAAAATTTAAAATAAGTAGTAGGATAGTTCAAACCAAATATGGGAAATTACAGGGCATAGTTTTGGCTATGGATGAGCACAGATATTTGAGTCCTCTTGAAGTTTTTTTAGGTGTACCGTATGCAACACCTCCAGTTGCATCTAATAGGTAAGTTGATTTCAAATGCTAGCTTAGAAGTTGTTAAAGAAATTTTAGCAGATATTAATTCACTTATGTACTGTGGATCAATAAGGGTGGATCGAAGGGACAAATAATTGACAAAGGTCTAAGTGGTCTAAGCGGTATTTCACTTCGGAGTAGAGACTGCTACTTTATAAGTCACAAGTCTGCTGCCGTCTTTGGGCGGGAGCTCCTGGGTGCCAACTTGGGCCCTTTGACGCGATTCAAAGACGTGCTATAAGAATTGTTGACGATATTGAACCACTGTCTTGGAGGAGAGACTTTGCCTCCCTTTGCCTGTTCTATCGCTTGTTCAATGGCCAATGTTCTGAAGAACTGTTTGACATGATGCCAACAGCAATATTTTGTCAACGCACCGCTCGCTACCGACAGGGAGTCCATCCTCACACTCTAGAACCGAGTCTATCTCGTACTGTACGGTTTCAGAGGAACTTTCTCCCACGTACAATTAGGTTGTGGAATTAACTTCCTGTCGGGGTTTTCCCGCAGGGATACAGGATGGAGTCCTTCAAAAAGGATTTGAGAAGGGTCCTAAAGGGTCGGCAACGTGCTCTTGACGCCCCTGGTGTTGCAGGCGTTCATAGGCGACGGTGACCGCTTTTCATCAACCGGGCCGTATGCTTGTTGTTCGCTAGCTAGATAAAATAAAAATAAAAAAAAGGTGACCGAAATTGGGCTGGAACTTGTTAATCGTACATTCTATGGACGTTAGCATAATTGATGATGTTCAGCAGATTCGAATTTTCAAAGTTATTAATTTAAAAAAAATGACAGGCACCCAAAAGTTTACAAATTAAATAGTTGAATTATATCCCGTTTATAAGTCATAACCAACATTACTTTTAATTTTATTTGACATGTGCACATTAAAAAAGATTTAAAAAAATAATTGTAGAATGGAACTACATTTCTGCTTCTCGATATTTGGAATACTTAACATTCATTAATTACAATGTTAAATACTCCAAAGTCAACAAACACACACCTAATGATGATTTCTTTTATTTTTACCCAAAGTGTAGTGTTGTCGTTGACTTACAAATAAATGGACGACGGGTCTAATACAAAAACCACGAAAAAAATGTCCCAAGTCAACCTATTTAAACGTAGTGACATGTAAAGGAAAATGAAAAAGCTAAAACGTTGAATTTAAATTGTCATGTCATCGCAGTACTGTCTAATTTTGCTTGCTTCACTGTCAGTCGAACCAACGAAGACTAAAGCGTGAATGACGCTCTGTATACGATTTTAACGCCCTATAAGTTCGGACACTTTTTAGCGCGGACCCGACGTCCATATAATTGTAAGTCAATGAGTGTTGTTTTTGATTTCAGTTTAAGTGTATTTTTATTAACACACATTAGCAAAGATCATGTAATTACATCATCTTTGCTAAGATGTGTGTTGTAGCAAAGACCAACACGTTGGGTAAAAATAAAAGAAATCATCCATTCTGAGGAAAAAAAATCAATGGTCATTTTGTCAACACTGTCCGATCAATTATTTTATATTGCTAAAAATGTAAACAACAGTGCGAAATGTAAATAATGTAATTCTTCCAGTATCAATTTGATCATGATTATTTTTTGTTATAGAAATTAAACTTACCAAAATTAAGTAGTAGAATAGACATTGAACAAAACTTGACCCTTTTCTGCCTTGGTAAGAGTGCAAAGTATTCAAATGAAAATTATTTTTGCCATAGGTTCAGTCCAACGCGAACACCATCACCATGGGATGGAGTACGAGTATCAGACAGACCCGGTCCGGCGTGCCCGCAGAAACTACCAGATCTTGACGACGAAAGGACCATATTAGAGAAAATGCCTAAAGGCAGACTAGAGTACTTGAAAAGACTGATGCCTTATCTTAAGAATCAAAGTGAAGATTGTCTATATTTAAACATATTTGCTCCTTTGCAAAGTAAGCGATCATTATTTTAATCTTTTCGATATTACTATTTTACGCCCAAATTATTTATGAAAATGTTAACAAGTACTTTAAAAACACGCAACTCTCAAAAGTTTTCATAATATGGCATCTTGTTGTTTACATGAAGATGCCACGTTCTCAGACACTAAACAAACTCCTATTTAGGCAACAATTGGAAATAAAACTATTTGTTCGGATCCAAATTGCGTATTGTTTTTCGAAACAAGCGAACGTATAGGTTTTTTTATAGGTGTCATGGTCTCACTGCTCAAGTTCGCTGTCACAGTCAGCTGTGACTTAGGTCATGTGAAAAGCCCGTGTTTTCTTTGATGAAAATATTTGGATAGATTAAATTTCTTTTCAAATTGTAGTAATCGCGGAAAGCTAAGAACTTGATAGACAATACTTTACAATGTTGTTTCATTCTAGAAGAACGTTAATAAAAAAATAGGGCAATGTTATTAAACAACAATCTGTTAGAACAGTTTAAAATCACATCTATAAATTTGTTCCAAAATACAGACTCTTCTTTCATTTAAGAGCTTTGCTCTTGTAAGTACATTGATATCCATTAATCATTTTTCTTCTGATCAAGCTTTATACAATTGGTGTATATTGAATAAGGAGCTACTTCCTTACAAATAACAATTCTATTACCATTCTCATAAATATGTATAAAGTATATTACAATATGTATCACATGCAGCATATGTATCGCCAAAATAGACGAGCTCTGACTCGTACGGCCAGCGCTGTACTGATAATTCTGGCATCAGAGTTACATAAAATATAAATGAATTCATCATCAGCAGATTGCTTTCTTCCACGCCTCACGTTTTGTGCAATCATCGTGTAAATTATATTCCCTGGAGATTTGCTTCTCATTTCGGTGTGATAAAGTTAATAAATTTCAGAAGTGCGTAATCAATAAATAACACGTTCAACACCTCTTCTCTGTAAATCGTGAATTAATGGCGCGTTTACATTACGTCGACAAGTCGCCTCCGCTTGTACGCCGAAGACGGCAAGCTACCCAGTGTAAATACTGAGTTATTTGATGATATTAGTTTCCTGCCGAAGTCGACCGAGTCACTGTCAAGCGACTCGATCGCCTTCGGCAATCGACGGCTGGCCAAATAAGTTTCAACATGATGTGCACACGGGCGCTGACGGTGCGTTGCATCGTCGCAACACTATGATTTCAACGCACCGAATACTATACGAGCAATGGGATTGCGCAACCTAACCGTTTCAATGCGCCATGTGTCATTTAGTTCTGATTTATATGTAGTCCAACGCAGCGTCCCCGTTCAGGCGTCGCAAGGCCTATGTAATGCATTGTGTGGCATCGCTCTACCTACCCGACCAGTTTTTTGAACGTTTTGAACGATTTGTTACGTATCTGTGCGTTAACTTGTATTTATAATGATTGCCGCAAAGGCGACAGTCGACTCGGTGTAAACAGTGAGTTGACTGCGCCCCCTTCGGCAAGGCGAAGTTGTCTGCCGAAGGCGGTAGTCGACCTTATGTAAACACGCCATAAGATTTATGGATTTAATCTGCTGAAATTGTAACGTCCTCCTGCGAGATAGATACGATGTTGTTTATCTACATTTCTTAGGTTAACATTATATTCACGACGAAAACTCAAAAACACTTACTAACATTATATCTCTAACTTTTGCTAAGCAAACTAGATTTAGTTATATTTCAAGTGATGGATGTAATTCTTGCACGATGGCAAATAAAACACAAAGCCTTTGTTCAGTAAATCTCCAATCAAACAAGTACAGTTCACGGCAAATACCAAACTAAATGCGGATGTGAAATGTCGGACCGTTGTTAGAACACAAACATCTTTCAATTAACAAGAGATAAATGTTTACTTCGACATAACTGTAGCAATTGAGCTACACTAACATAAATTTAATTAGAAATGATTAACAAATATTGGAAACGACAATAACAACGAAATAAGCCCAAAATAGAAAATATTTTTTTTTTATTTTATCGTCATATACGTACAGTAAAAACGAAAATAGAACACTTGTAATATTGCCTTCGGCAGAAAGAAAGACACAAGTAACGAATTCTATATACGGACATAAATGTGTTAAAATATTTGTTCGGTTTTTCTGATAAAAAGAATAGTACGTCTGATATTAAGTAGTTTATGTTGTAAATATAATATAAAACCAGAAATAGAGACGAAATGTCATTTAATTTGTTTGAAAACTATTCTGCCAAGTCATTCCGGTGACAACTGCGCTCCGATTGGCCAGCCCGAATTCGAAACAATTGACGGGTGTCGCCAATTGTTTCACTTCAAATCGCCCAGTTTAACTTGAGCGTTGCTATAATGGCGAAATATTACATATTTAATTAACGGTGAAATGTGATTCCGTTTGTTTTATAATTAGATGTTTTGTTTTTGTCCCACACCACCGAATGGTTCAGCCCTCCATAGTTGGAGATATTATCTTTATTACAATAAATACAAAATATTTTTGGAATATACGGAGACGTACACACAGGTCAGTTGTTGGCGCTGTACTATTTCAGTTTTCTAATTTGTGATTTCAGCGCAAACGAGAGTTAATATTTAAAAGTGATATGGCCCATTTATCTGATGAGTTGCCAGGCCCTTATTTCGTCTCTATTTCTGGTTATATACTCGATGTACATACCGCATGTTTCATACAGAAACTTTCAGTGTGTTCTGTCAGTGTATTTTAACTGCCGTTTTTTTTTAAATACCTTATGTTTGTCTTATGGTTAGTAGAGAAAAAATATAAAAATACTATTACTGCATAAAAGCTTGCAGTATAGTCAACAATTATTGAGATATATTTCTACAAAGAAAATAGGTAGATTGGTCTTTTTTTCCTGATTCCAAATACATATATATGTAACCATTGACTTACAAATAAATGGACGACAGGTCTAATACAAATACCACGAAAAAAATGTCCCAAGTCAACCTTACCAAATATTTAAACGTAGTGACATGTAAAGGAATGTGAAAAAGCTAAAACGTTGAATTTAAATTGTAATGTCATCGCAGTACTGTCTAATTTTGCTTGCTTCGCTGTCAGTCGAACAAATGAAGACTAAAGCGTGAATGATGCTCTGTATATGATTTTAACGCCCTATAACTTCGGACACTTTTTAGCGCGGACCCGACGTCCATATAATTGTAAGTCAATGTATGTAACTCAATTTTGATAAAAATGTTAGTTGTTCCCTGTTCAAAGTTTTTGAATATGCATTATTCTCATTTAAATTTCTTTTCCAGTGGACGAAACCAAACTAGCATTGCCAGTGTTAGTGTACATTCATGGTGATAGCTACTCGTGGAGTTCAGGCAACCCGTACGATGGTGCAGTTTTATCCAGCTACACTGATTTGATCGTGGTCACTCTTAACTTCAGGCTTGGAGTCTTAGGTATGACAAAGTCAAATAATCATTTATTCTATAGGTAAAATTTTTACACTTGAAAACGTCACTTTTTTTTCAATAGTAGCTTAAGCAAGTAGGTCGTTCACAGTGCTGACTTCCTGAAGAACGAGCAAGAAACTCAACTCTTATCAAATAAACTTAAATGCTATGGAATACACTTTGAATCATATTTATGTGTAATCTAGTCTCAGGCCTTCTTTCTATACATCTTTATCTAACACTTATTCTTCAATTTTGTAATATGACTTTTCAATTAGAATACTTTTGATGTAAGTTTTAAACTAAAGAAATGATAATCGTAAAGTATGCTCCATAGTCTTATTGTAAACACATGTACATTACACCATAAAAAAATCGTTTGCAATGTACAATAACAAATAAATATATACAGTTGTGTTTTGAACCCCCGACGCAAAAAGAAGGGGCACATAGATACGTTGCTCTGATCCCAAAGTAAGTATTTTTTAATGATACTAAGTGGCAGGTCGAACAAGTCGTGGACCTGGTAGTAAGCGACATGCCTGTCCATAACAGTTGCAGTGTGCTATTCAGAGCTTTAAAACGCAAAGATCAGAGAGGCACTGCCACTACACCCGCCACCATGAGACATAAGTTGATAAACCCCATATGCCCAGCACCCTTCAAAACCGGAACGCAGGAAGGCTCACATTACTGCTTGGTCGTAGAAATAGGTAAATAGGTACTTTCCTGGACGAACTCTTTCACAAGGAGCTCTACCGCTACTATAGAAGTTGTGTTATAGAAATCGGAAACAACGACGGTACCACAGACACCCAGACCCGAAACAATTATACAAAAGTTAGTTTATCTAGATCATACGTTCCCAAACTTTTAGGTTCATCGCCCACTTGGCAAGATAAAAAAATTTCAACCCCCACCACCATTAAAAATAATTAAAGACACGTATTTTTTATATTACCTTAACACAATTAAATTTTAAAATATTTAGTTTGTATAGATATATCAATTTTATTTTTTTTCAAATGCAATAACACCCCCTGGACAGTATCAACACCTTCCGAAATACGTTTAAGTCTCCTACCATCCTAGGACTCTTCAGCGCTCAGGGGACCAGGGGTAGGGACCACTTTGGGAAACTATGATCTAGATTAACCCGGTCGGTGATCGAACTCAGGACCACAGAGATGAAGACACCATGAAAACCACTGTGCAACCAAAAGGTCAACCAAAGGTCATTAGGAGTTTACAGCCTGTGTCTGTATATCTATGTATCATGAGCTATCCTGTGACATCTGTTCAGACTGTTTAAATATCAACTCATGGTTAGTTACAGTAGGGATCTCAGTCGTAAAATGATAGTTTATTTTACTTCCTCTTGTCCGATGGACTTGAAACTTGGTATACTATGGAAATTTTATAACTTACCATAATAATGGTAACCTTGGTCCGATACTGCAACCAGGTCTGTCCGCAGTCTACCTATCTCCACAATTGCTTGCAGCTGAACTATCGTATTTGGGCACTTTGAGTGAGTCTTGATGAGTAGTTGGGTTACAGACGGTGATTTTTTGCAATACAATGTTTTATATCGGTTTTTAATTCAATTTAATTTGTTATCTATGCTTGAACTACTTAAAAGATTGTCTTACAATGTCGGTAAGTATGCAATTACGAACAAATGGCCATTCAAATACTTTAATGGCCCGAACATTTGTAATTGCCGTTCCTCCCATGTGGCATACAATGTTTTTTATCACACTTGCGTAGAAGTTAACAAAAGGAAAATTAGACTTAATTTTTTTTATATGCGGAGTATGGATCTCGTCAAAATAGTAAATAAAATAGAACCAACCTTAGAATAATAACGCATAGAAACCTAGTCCGCACACGCTAAGTGAGGCAAATTGAAGCGCTCCCAATGGGCCTACACGAGCGGGCGGGCCTTCAGTACTCAAGGTCAACTTGCACCGCGAACGGCTCAAGAAGTTTAGCTAAAAATGACGAAATGTACGGTAAATGAGTGTAAAAATACGTCAGACAAACATAAAATAGATACTATTATACTACACTTTTGAGGGAAATGTTATTCCATGGCATCATATTTGTATATTTGTGTGCGTGCCGCGAGCGTAGATACAAGTTGCTTACGCCTACATGAATTTGATTTTTGCCTCACTTGTGACAGTTCGTTTGATATGAAACTATCATTCTATGAGTTATTATTCTACGGAACCAACTATTTTACATTAGTTTTAATTTAAAAAAATATGTATGTAATTTGCACGAGGCGGTGACGGTCGAGCCGGTAGTTTGTTTGCGGTAGCGGGAGGCGAGAATCGCGAAATTGATAAAAAACCACTACCATTCTAGAAGCGAATGCTGTAACTTAAAAAATGCTATAATATTATAATACTACTCACAAGCAGGAGATGAAAACGTCTTTTTTAATACAGTT